CAAGGCCAATGAATCTCACCTACGTGGACGAATTTTTAACAGGTAATTGATTATTCCTTCTTAATTTATAGTTGCAGTTTGGCTAATTAAGGCTTGCATATAACCTAAATACATATAATCCTGTCACGTATTTCGTTATAACGGATTTATAGTTTACAGTTGGTTAGTTGTTATGCCCTTGCTTTGTAAGATACGAGGAATAGCAACGTCTTCAACTAGAAACAGTTTTAGCCCTTTGATTTGAATGCACGAGTTTGTAACGGAGGAACTTTGTCTTTTTGGTAAAAGATTTGCTTCTCTTGGCCGTTAAGTAGGATCTAATAACAACTTCGTTCTTGCATTCTGATGGACTGAATTTTCGTCTCACCCGAGAAACCCATTTATAGTGCGTTGTTTGTGCAAGTTCTCGGTGAGATAAATGCATTTTGTCTCAAAAGTCTTTCAGAAGCTTGTAATCTACTTCAGCTTCGAAAATATCATTCCTTAGCCCTCACTGACACCAGTTTCTCTACTGATGTGTCATGTCGACAGTTTTAGGTTTCCTTAATGCATTAATGTGATGAATTACAGACAAAGTGATTTGAACTGAAATGTCTTTAACACTCTTAGAGCTTTGAACTGTCTTTATTCCTCGTTTATAAACGTATCCAATGATCTAAATTTAAACTTGTATGCCACAAAAGAAGATCATGCCTGAAGATAATAAAATAGCGTTTTAAGAGAATTTGGTTAATGACTCTCCTATTTCAGAAAAGTTCCCAGTGCCTTGCACAGAATGCAATGACCCTCTTCACATCACAGAATTGTTGACAGGTAAACACCTTTTGCAGTTATTTCACATTTCCATCATTTTAGTGATTCTCTTTCTCAATGAGAAAGACTATTGTGGTTCGTTGATACAGTGAATCCCCAGTAAAGTAATCTTCCGTAAGTGGACACCTCATGTAAGGACACATTAATTAATATTCCCAACCACATAAGGATAATAAAACTTAACCCAAAAGGGAGAAATCAAAGACGTTATTCCTTAATTGAACACGAGTGCTGGCGTAAACTCAAATTTTGAATTATTATTGATATACCAATTAAATTTGATTAACTGACTCACGAAAACATACATTTACGTTCCAGAGAAATTTCCCATCCAGTGCACAGAGCGAGACACAGAGGACTGATGTCGAGCTTCAGCTCAGAGTTTATCGGACCGAAGTCATGGCAACTGGCATATATTTAAATCCTTTTCTTTCGATGACTTTGCAATATCAAGACACTGTTACAATCCATACAAGTACTATTAGTCAAGAAGCAAATATCATGCTGCATGGAGAATTTTCGGTCTTTACGAGGAGGCTAGCAGACGAACCCATCTGACGCAAACACATGTGAAATTAACCCACTTTTATATACATATAAAAAAATGACCACAAGGTTCGGGTTAGTACAAAGTAAGAAGGAAAAAAACGAATTAAATGGTCGGTTGTGGTTTTAGCAAAGAACATTCCATGGAGCCAAAAGGTCATGGATGTGTATGAATATACTTTGAATATACTTGCCTTAATGCTGATTTCTGTGACTTTACAGTCCCCGCCTACCGACGAGAATCATTACCCTTTGCAGCATTAGTTGGTTGAATAAATGTTCACAACTGTTCTCATTGTTCTCCTCATTAGAATTTAATAAAAACCTATAAGCACAAAACGAACGAGCTATACGAATTCATTGAATCATGTACAATTCTTCTAGTGACCTTGAAAGGGTTCAGAATTTATTTAAAACTCGATTTTTTTTTCTCGAATAAAAAAACGGTTATTTGTGGTTTTGAAATCGTGCATCAATCTATACGCTTCACTAATTTAAAAATGATCCAGAAGTTTCCTTTATGGAAACTATGATCTTGTGGATTAGACAAGAAACGTCAAAAGTATATGTCCCAGTTGCACATTTACCTTCTAAAGCATCTTATTCATCAAAAATTACCCTCTAAACGTCATAGAGGACTAATGGAGTCAGAGTTTGGGAAATGGCAATGTCTCGAAAATATTTCCTCAAGAGTGAAAGTTTTAAATGCAGCTTAAATTGCATTTTGATGTTACTTTGTATAAAGAAGTTAACAGTACGATAACCTATTTGCGGTATGCCAATGTCTCAAAAATAAATTCCTTTTGTGAGTTAAACAAGTCTTGATTGCATTCTTCGTTATTAGTGACTGTGGGGTCACCTTGTCTTATGTTTTATACAGAAACAATACATTTTGTTCCTTGCATGAGACCAGGGCCATTTATTACACTGAAGCGAGGCAGTCTTGATTCAATTAAGCAAAAATGAGATAATAGTACAAAGATTATACAAATCATAAATTCATCAACATATTTTATCATGCTAGCATTGGTCTCAAAGAGTCCCCTGTATTTATGTTTGCGCTTATTGACAAACTTTATTGTTAGTAAATGAGCCACCAAATTGGTCTCGTCTGGACGGCCCGCTTACTATATTTTTACGCACTTTTAAAATATTTTTCATGCGAGTGTTGGTCTCAAAGAGTCCCTAACACTACTTAACTGACTCTGGAACGTAACAGAGTAGCACATAAACAAAGCTCCAAGATATACAAAGGATAAAAGTCTTACAATCATGCTGCCATAATCATTTCAAGATACAAAATCAGAGAATTCGGTGCGGTTATAAGGCCGATGCAAACTTTGAGCGCCAATATTGGTGACAACAGTGAAACCAGTTTTTCATTCACGGAAAATTCGTCAGGTTTGCGCTCCCAATTAAAACCCTATGGGTGATGGGGAGCGTGGAAACACGCGCTTTTGCCTTTGTCGTTGTTAAATGAGCCGCTAAAGTAAATGACCGCCTGTCAAGGAGAAGAGAACAACTTTATATACATCACTGACTGTTTTGAATTGAGATAAGATAATAGTACAAAGATTATACAAATCATAAATTCATGACAACAGTGAAACCAGTTTTTCATTCACGGAAAATTCGTCAGGTTTGTGCTCCCATTCAAAGCCCTATGGGTGATGGGGAGCGTGGAAACACGCGCTTTTGCCTTTGTCGTTGTTAAACGAGCCGCTAAAGTAAATGACCGCCTGTCAAGGAGAAGAAAACAGCTTTATATACATCACTGACTGTTTTGAATTGGCTGTCATTTTAACAAAAATTCTACGCCATTGGAACGTCATCCGAACGCACAAAAAATTCTCAAGTTGTGAACAATGTCTGTTCATCAGTACCTAGAAAGACGTTTTCAAGACTTGATGAAGTTTGTTGAAAGGCTCCCCAGGCTTTTCTTGTATTTTGGGCCACAAATAGCTGTAGAACAAGATGATCAGGAAGGTAAGTTTCGACAGGAACCGGTTTATAAGCTTGGTGGTCGAGCCGTACTATTTCTATCAGACTCAGTCAGATTACACCACCTCCTCATGAGAGCAAATGTTACCAATGGTCAAACATTTGGTGGCAACAGCTGGCAAATCAATTTCGCCCATATCTCAAAGCTAAGTACTCCTCAATGGAAAACAAATCACAGCATACTTCGTTTGGCTGAATATCGATTTATTTTCGAGAAAATCGATTATGACTGAATTCCATCAAAATGCCGCGTCACAAATTGGAAAAAACCCTAGAACGATTAAAAGTACCAATCCTGAAAAACAAAGTCGGAATACATGTTGTCAGCAATTTGAGAAATTCTTGACCATTTATTTACACGATCTTACCTGATTCTAACTTTTTTAGAAATAGGTCAAAAGTAACCAGTTATTTATCTATGTGCTACACAAAATAATTGACTGAAAGTCTGGCTATTGGAAGGCGAAGTGTGGTTCTTTCCGATCTCTAAAGGATTTTTCGGGGAAATGATTCAGTGCGATTTATCAATTTTTAAAGTTAGATAGAGTGCGCCGACTGTGAATTAGCCGAAAACGTACACATACACGCGAAAACTCGAATTATTTCGCATTTTATATCCATTCGACAGTTTATTTAACATAATATCCTCTTAATTTCCATGTTGTTGTTTTTAAGAAGAGGCTACAGTCCTGAAATTGTTGCATCGTCCACAAAAAAGCAAAATAACTTGGCGGGATAGTCAACGTTTTTTCGCGGGTTTTTAATTTGAGGTTTCTCTATTCCCATTTCATAAAAAGGAGGCTGTAATTACTTTACGTAGGAGATCTTTGCTTAAATATTAGTATTCAACCGAAACGCGAACCAAATGTACCCGGAATGTTGTTTTTTGGTCAGAACCCCTTTTTGGTGTATGGATTTTTAATAGAATCATTTCATAATGATGTTTTATTCTAAAAATGCGTTTTTTGTATTTGCCCTTTGAGTAGAAAAACAAATTTAGTTGTTGACTGTGTGGAATTATTGTAAAACTTGCGTTTCCAACGGTGAGGAATTACATTACGGAATCGCGCCCATTGAAAAGCGTCCCCCGAGAAAAGTGGGGTACCCATGATGCTTTGCGGGCGCAATGACCAAGGAATGAGGTTGCAAACGCTCACCGCCAACTTCGGTCGCTTTAGATCTGAATTGACAAAAGGTTGTGTCAATAAGTTAAACAACATTGCGGACATTGATTGCAATTCCTCGTAATACGAACAAACTAATATGCTTCGTACAGCCAGTCACGGACTTAGGAGAAATGGAAATTATCAAGCGTGTTCTGTTTTGCTTTTTTGATTGGCGATGATGTTGGCATTTTAGGGAGAGGGTAAATGTTTTGTTCGGTTGGTCATGACTTTTATTGCATTTGGTGGCTTTCAAAAAAGCCGTTTGTGAGGCAAACTAAGATAATTTACCAATTGCTCATCAATCAGCAACAGTCAGCAACAGTGTCTTGGCGATAGCTGTGTTGGCGAAACGAACTGGTGGACTCTGCGAACTTAATCTTCACGAGGAGGGATCGCGACGGCAGGTCCAGGGAAAACTCTGCGAAGGTTGCGTAGAAGTAGCGGTCGTCTTGTTTAAGCTTAACGTCCCATTTTTCACCAAGCAGGGGGATCTAGATCGTCGAGTCGATTCTTCGATTTCTCCACCTTGAAATTGTTTTCAACCGCTAACCCAAGTAATTCAAGATCGTGGCGGAGATCAGCTGGGCCCATTTTGATGACGAAGGTGCGAGCTGCCTTGGAAGACATTCCTCTGTAGATCTCGCAGCGAAGCTTGGCTGCCAAGTCGTACCGCTGAAATTGAAGCTGATAGGCGCGGTTGGCCATGTGTAGCTGCAGGGACTGGGACAGCCGCAGGATGGCTCCTTGTCGGACTTCTAGGACCACTTTCTTTAACTGAGACGAAAGTTTAGTGTCCTGAAGTGTGTGTACCGCGGATGCCGGGCAGGTCAACCTGAAGTTTGCTAGCGGGCGTATGGCGACACCATCTGACAGCTGGCACTTCTCAGCATTTAAAAGAACCTCTAAGCCGGACTCGTCTTGGTAGAGCTCCAGGACAATGAAGACGACGTCTGCACTGTTCGGGGTGAGGCTCACGAGATCTCCGCAGCTGATTTTGATACCATCAAGGCGAACGATCGTCGCGAACTGCAGGGCTATGGCTGACTGGACACTGACAGGCGCCGATACGGGAGGTGGTGGTGATGTTGCTTGTGCTGCTTGGGGCAAAGCTGCTGGTCTTCTCCTCTTGACAGTATCAGGAGTGGGTTCTGGCGGTGGTAGTACATCGCGGAAAGAAGCAATGATTTCTTCGTTTCCGCACTCCACTGTAACGAGTTCTAGAAAAGGATCCACCACTCTGACCGCGGTCGATTTTCTGATGCCCTCAACTTGAGGCAACTTGTTGAAATTCACGCTGGGTGTCCAACGCTTTCTGGAGCGAACGTCAATCATTGTACAAGGGCGAAGACAGTCGGCGCTGAGAACTGTGTCAAACTGTCGGCTCCAACCATCGAAGGTAACCTTGTACCTGTCGCCTTTTTGACTTAAGATGGTGCACATATACCATCGACCGTCATGAAGACCTTCGTATTTTTTTCCGATTTCGTAAGCCATAGTTTACGTCGTCGTGTACACGCGATTAATAAGCGAGATAAATGAACGAACCAAGATTTCTACTTGTTTATCTGTCGCTATGGCTACCAAACAACGATTGTAAAGGATCCCGGAACGAGGTTGCCCATTGGCTTGTTTTGGTTACGTGTGCAAACGAAGTGTTGTTATGGTAAAGCTGAGTAGGAAGTGAGCGTGCACCTACGTGGAGCGAGAATCTACAACGTATACTTAAGCTTTTCGAAAAGTTAATAGACTACCGACGTGTTATCTGAAACTGACGGCAATAACGGGCCAAAAAGGAAGGTAAAATTCCGCACAGCCCCACACTACATTATACGTTCAGTTCTTGGATAGAGTGACAAAAACAATACATTACCATTGGGAAAACAGATTTGTTTTACGATAGTATGGGGCAGTACGGAAATTTTACTAAAAGGAATATTTCTGTAATGTTTTGCTTTCTTGGCGAAATTGATGGTCGAACCTCGTAAATCTGCCGCATTTGAGTCTTAACACAAATTGAAAACCCGGCATTTGAAAGGTAATTTAATTTTACATCTGACCGATTTTTAAACAATATAACCTAATCAAGATAAAGCCACTAATTACGTCTATTCTTCTTCGATGAAAAGTGTTACGTTTCGGTTGTCTGCACAAGAAACAATACTTTCGAACACTGCGTACACGGGGATTACATGATTGACAGTCGGATTGACAGGCCTGCTTGAAGTTACGCATGCTCTCTTTCTCTTTTCTAGCTTATTTGCATTTTCCCGTGCGACGTTTTTCAATGGGCGCGATTCTGTAATGTTGTGTGTTTTATCTAATAAGATTCTCAACATGTTTTCTTGGTGTCTAAAATAGAATACGGATTAAAAAAAGGACATTTTGCCTTATGTCAGTTTCGCTCCTTGTCTTGCACACGAGGAACATGTTTCTCGTGTGCACGTGGAATAACGCTTAATTAATTCAATGAGAGGTTTACTGAAATCGACAACTTCGCAGATGGGACATTTCCAAAAGCTTTCACTTGTATGCAATATTATGAAGACAATACAATTTCTTTCTGCTGCATAAATAGTAATTTTAATCTACCTGTCACCAGGAAAGCGACCACAAATTCATTTTGCGCAACAAACGCGCTAGTTTCAAATCGTTAAGAAAAGATCAAAAGGAAACCTTTTTTCTTTTGATAATATATATAGTGTGTAATATGTTATGAAATCAGAAGTTCATAAATCACGCCACTAAACCCTATTTGGGGATGTGTCGGAAATTAACGCCTCAGAGAAGATTGAAATTTAAACGTGGTAGTCTAAAGCTCGCTGCTGGATATTATTGTTTTCGCATCTCTGCCGCTGGTGTTATTAATAAGAAATACCATAATCTATATTCACCCTCTCTTTAGACAGACCCCCCCCGTACTTTTTATTATATTGGTTTATCCATTTATTATCATCATTTTTTTTTTAATTTCTTGCGATGCATCTGTTCAAAATCAAATTGTGCGAAGCAGTAGCTTGAGTTTTACACTCACTACTCATTAACAACTATTCAAAATTACTATGTTATTCAAAATGTTAAGTAAAAATTTCAAAAACTTAGTCATTAAAATGCTATTATTGTTGCTTTTAAAAAATGTTTCCCGTGCCATGCACTGAGCCTGATAACCTAACACTAAACAGGTTTTAGCAGGTATGGTCGTAAAGTTTGCTCTCGATCCTTTATCTTTCCTTTGTTGGTCATGTTAGTCACACTAAGGAGACTGTCAAAACATTTACACGCGACGTTACACGCGCTGATGATAGAGGAAGTTTTCTGTTTTAATTTGTGTAATTTCCCTGCAACTTTTGGCAATTTTGTTCGCTTGCATGGAAACTTTCGCTGTAAAATGATTTATTAACAGTTATCTGCTTGTACCGACTTTTCTGAAAATCGGAACTGAATCATTTTAGGCCATTTGACAGACTTTATACCCTAAGTTTGAGTGGTAAGGGAGCTGTTAAGTGCTTAGGTTGGATGAAATTGTTTTCTCTGTAGAGGGGTTCCCAGTGCCATGTACAGAACCAAACTATCCCTCTTTCATAGACAGATCGTTGGAAGATAAGTAATTCCTTTTCGTACAGTTAGTATTGATCGTTCTCTTTGGGAACTTTCTGAACCATCAATATTTTTTTCACCAGAAAAGAAATGGACTTTAAATTATAAAACTGAAATTCGCTAACGTAGTCTTGCAGGTAAGAAGAAGGTGTACTCCTTAGACCCTCTGCCCAGCAGAAACAATGTACGAAAAATTGAGGTATTTCTTTTTCTGAAGACAGGTTTCCGGTTCATAAAACAAAAGAAAATAATCTTCTGTACATGGACGGATTTTTGAGAAGTGTGTTTTTTTACTTTTTGATCTGCATTCAAGCAAAACCGATTCTAAAAAAATGATTTGAATTCTTTTGTCACGGTTTTCAAACATGGAGTAGTTGAAGAAGTTAATTGTAAAACAAACTTATCAAAGGCTTCTAAAAGCAATTGAGATCATGATGGACACTGTATTAGGACCAGTTGGCGTCAAATTTGATCTCAGTGTAATCATACAAACGATTGGCAAACTGTGTCTGCCGTAAATGGAAGTCTAATTTGTTGGCCCCACAATGTTTACCGACAGAATGACCGCTAATTAAAATCATTAAAATTTTTAAGAAAAAAGATTACTTGATGAGAGAAAAGTTTGAGTTTCCAAAATATAAATGTAATCTCGGGGGCTTTACCCTCAAAGGTCTGGGGTTGCCCCTATAGAATCAGTCCAACGGACGGGATCTTTGATGATATACTCCTACTAAAGGAGTAGCACATAAACAAAGGTCGAAGAGACACAAAGGATAAAAGTCCCACGATCATGCTGCCATTACCACTTAAAGATGCAAAATCGGCGGATTCGGTCCAGCTATACGGCCGATGTAAACTTTGAGCGCCAATATTGGTGTCAACAGTGAAATCAGTTTTTCATTCATAGAGGATTGATCTACGCAGATTCTTGCTCCAAAATAGAACCCTATTGTTTACGTACCACGAGATTCAAATGTGATTTGTGAGGCGCAGGTTACTTAAGTCCAATGCATTTGGATCAGGGCCATTAAAGCGGGCGGTCTTGACATAATTAGGCGAGGATCAAAATTTGTACGAATGAAAATAACAATCATAATGTTTTATCACGCGAGCATTGGTCTTTATAAGCCCTTTCTTGAATCCTATTGAGACGAAAAAACAACCGAGTGAATGTGTTCGAGGGGGAGGGGCTTTCAATACCCGATCATGCGCTGTTTGTCTTTCATAAGAAGAGCTGTCTTGCTGTGGCTGACATATTAACAACAGTTGCAAAGGCCATCGGAACCCATAAAATTTTCAAGTTGTGAGCAATGCCTGTTCGTCGGTACTTGAAAAAACGTCTTCAAGACTTAATGATGTTTTTTGAAGGGTTTCTTCGGCTTATCTTGTATTTTGGGCCACAGAGAGCTGTTGAACACGATGATCAGGAAGGTAAGTTTCAACAGGAAGCGGTAACAAACTTACTGGTCGAGCCGTACTGTTTCTACCCAATTTAAAAAACCTGGACCGATAAAAAATACCAAATCTTGAAAAACAACGTCGAATCAGCAATTTTAGCAATTCTTGAACATTTTTTTTACACAACTGACCGTCGTATATAACTTGTTTGAAAATAGTTCAAAAGTAACCCGTCACTTAACTATGTGCTACACAAAACGATTAACTGAAAATCTGGATTTTGGAAGGCGAAGTGTAGTTCTTTTCGATCTTCAAAAGAGCTTTTAGGGGAAATGATTCAGCGCGATTTAATCAAATTTTGAAGTTGGAAAGAATGCGCCCATTCGACGGTGTCATCAATTAGCCGACAATGTGCACATACACACGCGAACACATTGTTTCGCATTTTACGTCCAATCGACAGTTTATTTACATAACAAGGTCAATATATGTTGAATTCGAAAACTCTACAAAACTACAACAATGAACTGTGAAATTATATGAAAAAAAATAATGTTTTTACATCTAACTGCGTATGCCGAGTATGGCTGACTCTGGTGATGTAGCAATATAGTGCTTAAGTCAGATCAATTTTTATTCTATAGAGAGGTTGCCAGTGTCATGTATAGAACCAAATCATCTCCGGTTCATAGACAGATTGTTGGAAGGCGAGCAATTCTTTTTGGTATAGTTAGTCTCGTGATTATTCTCTTTCGGGACACTATAAATTTTTTTAATCAGAGTTGATAATCCAAGAAAATAAACATCCAAATAGCGAAACGAGGCGCGAAGGGCCTTGTCAAGATAACTGCATGATTTAGTTTCTGCGACATTCAGACAATAGGAGGAACTCAGCTTTCAAAAGTAACCCGTCATTTAACTATGAGCTACATAAAACAATTGACTGAAATTGGCTTTTGTAAGGCCAAGTGTTGTTTCTTTTCGATTTTCAAAGGATTTTTCGGAGAAAGGATTCTGCGCGATTTAATCAAATTTTAAAGTTGGATAGAATGCGCCCATTCGACGGCGCCGTTAATCAGCCGAAAATGTACACATACACACGCAAGCCCGCATTGTTTCGCATTTTACGTCGAATCAACAGTTTATTTAATATCCTCTCTCCTTCCATGTTGCTGTTTTGAAGAGGGCTACAGTCCTAAAATTTTTGCATCGCCCACAGAAAAGCAAAACAACTTGGCAGGATAGTCAACGCCTCCTGATCATGCTTTTACATGGCGTATTTCGGCTTTTTGATTTGAGGTACTTTAGAGATCTTTGTGTAAATATAAGTATTTTACCGAAACGCGAACCAAATGTATTAAAGCGGAATGTTGCTAGTTCATAAACATGTTTCTCGTGTGCACGTGGAATAACGCTCAATCAATTCAAAAAGAGGTCTACTGAAATCGACAACTCCGCAAAAATAGGACATTTCCGAAAGCTTTCACTTGTATGCAATATTA